TTAAGCTTTCTTGGTTTCTGTGATTCCAGACACGTCGACTGCTGACATTTTTTCCTTTTGACCAGTGTCTCTTAAGTTTAGTTGTACTGTCTCCAAGGAATTAATTAATTGCATTAACCAATTATAATTAATGTTATAAAACAGAACGTCTGCGAGTGATTGAGTAAAACTTAATGTTGTTGTTGTTACGTGTTGTCGAGTTGCCTGTAACTTATAGTGACCCTTGTACAACAGTCCTAAACCCAGCTCTATCCTGTGTCAATCTTACTGTCTCTGATGTGCCTATCCATATTACCCCAGTCACTGAATCAATACATCTTATCGAGGCCCTCCTCTCTTGTGCTCTCTCCACCCTCCCAAGCATGGCGTTCCTCTCCAAGAACTGGTCCCACCTTGCAATATGTCCGAAGTATATCAGACGAAGCTTCAGAATCCTTGCCTCCAAGGAGCAGCCTGGTTTCACTCTCTCCAGCATGAACCTGTTTGTTCTCCTAGAAGTCCATGGTATATTCAATACTCTTCTCCAGCACCATAAATCAAAGGTATAATTTCTCCTATCATCCCTAGTCACTGTCCAACTCTCTGATGCATAACAAGTAAATGCAAAGACTGTATCAGGCACTCCTTAGTCTCCAGACTGACATCACTGCTCTTTAGTACTTTGGAGAGGTCTCTGACAGCAGACTTTCGCAACACAATTTGTCTTTTAATTTCCTGGCTGCTGGTACCAAGAGTGTTGATTGTGGAGGCAAACAAACAAAATCTGTTAGCAATCTCAATCTCTTCACCATCTATCATGATGCTGCCAACTGGCCCAGTGGTAAGAATCATTGTTTTCTTGATGTTGAACTTCAATTCATATTGAAGGCTGCAGTCCTTAACCCTCTGCAGAAAGCGCTTCAGGTCCTCCTCAGTTTCAGCAAGTATAATGCAGATTGTTGACGAGTCTTCCTCCAATCCTGATGCCACATTTATCTTCATAGAACGCACTCTCACAGATGACCTGTTCTGCATATAGATTGAAAAGATATGGAGATAGGACACATCCCTGGTGTACACACTTCCCAATTCTGAACCATGCAGTATTTCTTTGCTCTGTTCTTATAACTGCCTCCTGGTCCAAGTATAGGTTTCACATTATCACAATCAAGTGTTTTGGGACAGCCACAGTTTGTTGTGATCTGCACAGTCAAATGCCTTTGCATAGTCAACGAAACACAGATAGACATTAGTTTTGTACACTTTCACACAAATAAAATGAAAATGAGGCTTCTCCTATACAATAAGGGCATGACGAGCGACAGTGTCACCAAAGAAAGGGAACACAGAAGAAACACAGTGAAGTAAGTGGTCTTGAAACATCAGAATCTTCCTGTAAGTATGAAGAGTATGGTTATTATAAGGGTGTTGTAGTAGTTAACGTAGTTAAGGTCACAAGACAAAATATGTATGAATGGTTGAATGGAAAACAAATTTGCTGTGTAAATTTTCACTCAAACAACAATTGTTTTTTAGAGACATAAACTATTGCTATAATCTTTCTGTATGTCACTCCCATCAGTTGGGACCGCCTTTTGGTTGGCCCTTCATTGGATTTCCGCAACTATAAATTGCACGGGAGGAGATTGCCCATCTCACTTCTGCAGAGCCACTGGTGGACTTCCAACTCCCACAGAGTCCCAGCCTTTCAGTCCACAGTACAACTCCCTATGAATTAGGCCACCAGAGCTTCTTAGGAAAGAGAGAATAGTGGCCAGATCCAGGGTAGTGGCAGTAAAAGGGAGAAAAAAGAAGATGAATTGTGGATCTATTTTGAAAAGTGGAACTGTTTGGATTTGCTAATGAATTGAAAGAAAGTGTGAGAAAAAGAGACCATTAGTTCCTATTTGCTTCTTTCTATGCAATATGGTGACTATTTGTCATTTTTGTCATATTATGCGAGCTTGTGTGTTGCTGCGATGCTGAGAGATATGCTACTGGCATTTTAAATATCAGCAGAACCATCCATTTAGCAGTGGAACTTTCAGGCTAAGGCAGACTAGGTAGAAAGGCCTGACAATCTAATCTCCTTTTGTAAAGGAGTCTACAAAAACCCTCAGGATCACAACAGACTACTGTCTGACACAGGGCTAGAAAAGGGGCACCCACCAGGCTGGACTCCAATACACAGGACCTCCAGTAATGGACTCAAATGACAACTACAACAACAGGTAAGGTAGAGAAACTCAGTTATCAAGAACTTGAGTACTCTGTTCCCCATGGCACAGCTAGTTACAGGAAAGCACCTGTCATATTTTCCAGTATGCAGGGAACACTGATACAAATGAGTCTTACTTCCTTGGCGGCAGAAGTACCTAGAATTCATAGCTATGCAGTTTTCAATAACTTGATAAACATTTTAAATACATTCATTTCTACTTGCAGAGCAACCAACCAACCAACCAACCAACCAATCAACATGTTAACCAAGAATACTGATGGAGTGTTCAATTCTGTAGTGATAATAGTAGTCATAACATTATCAACAACAACAACAAACATATCCTGAGTCATTTGCATCCATTAGCAACTTTTCTTCTTTATTACCAGTCTTCAGGAATATATTACTATCACTCTCATTTTAAAGATGAAGACATGATGGTACAGAGATGATTCCCAGAACCATATGGCTATTATATAATGTAGCCACTATTTAGACCATGGTCACCTTAGGAAATGTAATCCTTGTCTGAGAACATCTTGATAATTAAGGCATAGTATCAGCACCATCCTACCTGTCCTTAATGGAGGATGTGGGTCTGCTAATTCTTTCACATCCAGTCCAGAGGGAAGGTGTTTAAGGAGACCACTCTGAGAACGGAACAGGCCCCTCCAACCATTTGAAGGATACAGTGACTGGAGTCTATCTCATATCCCACAAATACAGAAGGTGTGAGACTAGCTGGCTAGCCTCCTGACTCATGGACAGCTAGCTGTGCTGGGTGGTCAACCCTCTGAGTTTGTTTTGCATCTACTTCATTGATGTCTCTCATATCCCAAAGAGCATCATTTCCACGGGGGTGTTGGCATAGAGCTGTCTTAGATATTGCCCAAGAGGCTCATTTGAAGATGTCAAAGTGAAGAGCTAAATTCCAAGGATAAAGAGGAGAAGGTAACCTGAAGAGGACAGAGACTGATTATGAACAGATGGAGACTAAGGTGTGCCTGATCCAGGCCATGGTCTTCGCAATTACTTGCTTTGCATTAGAGAGCTAGATAATTAATAAGGATGGTAGAAGAAGAACTGATGCATTTGAATTGTGGTGCTGGAGAAGGGTACTGAATATCCCACTAGCTGCTAGGAGAACAAATAGGTACACCCAGGAGAGGGTGAAACCAGGTTTTACCTGGGAGAAGGATTCTGAAGCTTCGTCTGACATATTTTGGGCATATTGGAAGGAGGGACCAGTCCTTGGAGAGAGGCATCATGCTTGGAAGGGTGGAGGGACAGCACAACACAGGAAGACCCTGGATGAGATGGATTGATTCAATGAGTGGGGTAATGAGGGAAGGTGCATCAGAGACTATGAGGTAGAAGCAAAATATAGCAGGGTTCAGAGCTATTGGACATAGGGTTGCTGTGAGTCACTGGTGCCTCATTGGCACATACCAGCAGCAACAACAAAAAACTTATGAGAGCAACCCACTAAAGAAGGGGTTAGTTGCTAAGTCCCTCCCTGATTTCTGTCCCTGATGTTATGCGTCTGTCTGTCCACTTTCTGTCATTTTCCTCTTCATTTCTCTATTACGGTTATCCAAATGTGAAAGAAGGTTGACTGTGAAAAATGAAAAAGAAAATAGTTGCTAGCCATGTAGGTCTGTCACAGAATAAATGGAATAAAGGGAATGTAAATATAGTTTCTTTATGAATATACCTCAGGAGTCACACATGTTCCACCAGTTGGTTATGCAACATGAACTGAATGTTTGCGATAAGTTATTGTCACTTAAGAAAGGTTTACTAATTTACTGATACAGGAGAAAGATGAACAATTTCTTCTCATATGATTTATAGCCTCTGAAAACCCACTGGAGGGCCAGCTATGAGTCAGTTCTGACTTGACAGTGGTTAAGTCAGTGAATTTACTGACTGGAGAGGTCAGTGAGAGAGAAGAAGACCTTCAACAAGATGGATTGACACAGTGACCGTACCAAGGGGCTTGAGCATGTCTGAGATCATGGGGATAGTGCAGGACAGGGGAGGTTCATATATGATGTTTACAGGATCACTATGAGTTGTAGTTGTGTCAACAACACATAGGTTAGGTGCTTCAAGAGCATCTCCTTATGGGCTTGATTTTCTTATTTTTGAAGTGAAGAGACTGGACTAGGTCATCTCTCATGTCCCAGTGATTTTAAGACTCATTTCTCTGACATTTTAATAGTGCCTTATGGAGCCCGGCACCTAGTTGGCTTAAATAAATGTTTGTTTCCCTACAGAATAAACCAGGGGCAGCTGGAGTCCACCCCAAGCACTCCCAATGGAGGTCATGTGTTCTTTGGCACATTGGGGCACTGAGATGTTTTTGGTTTCAGAAGACCTTGATTCTCCCCGGTAGAACCCTGTAGGGTTCCTGAATAGAGTTGACTTCTACTCAAAAGGATCACACAAGACAGGGTCTGATGATCCCCTACCTTGTTGAGGGTGTTGAGCGCTGCCTGGGCCGCCGTGAGGGCTGGCTCTGCTTTGGCCAGGTCTTCCTCACAGTCCTTCTGCTTCTGTTTAACCTCGAGCATGATGAGCGCCACCTTCCGTTCCTCCTCATCTGCAATGGCTTTCTCCTTGCTCACTTTGTCAGTCTCCACGCCTACCACTTGAATCAATTTGTCTGCATCTTCATTCTTCTGCTTCAGCTCCACTTCCTGGGTGGCCAGCTTGGCTTTGAGATCGTCCACCTGGGTCAGAGAAGAACAGGGTCATCAGCAGTAGTGACCGGTGGGATAAGGAATGACTCAGGACCATGCCTGGTGACCTGAGAAAGGAAAGGTAGGTTCGGCTCCCTCTTCCTTCTCTAGGAAATGTGTGGGAGAGTCTAAACTCACATCCTGAACTTTCTCCTCAATTCTCAAATCACTTAGATGGTTTCTCACTACCATCAGTGTTTTATGTGTTAAAAGTCTCACATCCATTTCAATACTACTAGCATAATACTCTGAATACCTCAGATCTTCAATGAAAATCTGTCATTGGTTAATTGTGCTTCTACAGTAAGTTTCTACTCTGCATTCTTACAAGACATAGATGACCACAATGAATTAGGACAAGAAGAATCTCCATGGTCCAGGCCAGTGGGCTCCCATGGAGTCTCTGTAGACTACATAGGTAGGATGGTACATAGCATCAATAATGCATGCAATGATGGGGCTACCTGGGGGACCATCAAGTCAGTGTAGAGCTGTGGTTCTCTGAGTGTTGTCTGTGGCCCAGTAGCACCCAAATTACCTGGAAACTTGTTTAAAAACTCCATTGCTGTCAAGTTGATTTCTGCTCATAGGGACCCTATAGGACAGAGTAAAAAATGCCCCACAGGGTTTATAGGGTTTTTACTGTTTACTGGAACTGACTGCCATATCTTTCTCCTTGGGAATAGTCAGTGGGTATGAACTACTGATTGTTTGTCTTGAAGTCCACTGTTCAGCCACTGTTCCACTAGGGATCCTGGGAACTTTAAAGAAAGGCAAACCTCATGCTTAATCATGCTGTAAGGTGTAGCGCTGCTCACTCAAAAGTTGTCATGGCACATGAAGAAATGCTCCAAATCACTGGCAGTAAGAGAGATGCAAATCAAAACGACAATGATAAAGAGACCATAACCAACATCCAAGCAGATATATGCACACCCATATTTATCACGGCTTTTGTTCACAATAGCAAGGAGTTGGAAACAACCTAAGTGCCCATCAACAAAAGAATGGATAGAGAAGCTGTGGTATATTCACACAATGGAATACTACACTGCATTGAAAAACAAGGAACTTATGCAATATTATCCAAAATGGGTGACCCTGGAGGACATTATGCTGAGTGAAATATCTCAGTCACAAAAGGACAAACACTGCATAATGTCACTGTTGTAGAATGGAACTGACATCAAGGATGGGATAAGAATGAGAAAAATTGGATGAATTATGCATACTGCATTGAAACCGATGAGGGAGAGAACAGGTTAAATGAGATATATGATAGGGTATTATGGTTATCACAAAAGTCCAGAATGAAGGTCGCCTAGTTGAGTGTACTCGGGGTGGGGCCAGGGGTGGGAATGTATAGCAATGAAGGAACTTTTCTTTTACTTTTCAAAGATAAGAGCAAACTGGGGGGGGGAGGGGTGGAAAGGTAGAAAAATGCAACAATGAATGAATGGAGATCCAAAAATCTCTGTAAATTGTTCATTAAAATTAAGGAAAAAAACCCAACAACCCAAAAAACAAAAACCACAATGAGATACCATCTCACCTCAGTAGCAGTGGCAAAGTTAAACAGAACAGCAAGTAATAAATGTTGGAGAGGATGTTGAGAGATAGGAACTCTTATACACTCTTGGTAGGATTATAAAATGGTACCATCACTTTGGAAGGCAGTTTGGTGTTTCCTCAAAAAGCTGAACAAAAATTTCATATGACCCAGCTATTCCATTCTTGGAATTTACCCCAAGAAAATTAGAACCAAGGCACGAACAGAGACTTGTAGACCAATGTTCAAAACAGCATTCTTCACCATCGCAAGAACATGGAAACAGCCCAAATGTCCAACCACAATCGAATGGATTGAGAAATTATGGTACATTCACATAATGGAATACTGTACAGCACACAGGAGCAATAATTTTGAAAATGACTTCCTAACTTGGGAGAGTCTGGAAAACATATACTAAGTGAAATAACTCATTCACATAAGGACAAATACTGGATAAGACCATTATTGTAGAAATAGATACTTATTAAAATGTGTATTACTTTCTGGGGGGTAGAAGCAGAGTGGTGAGGATAGGCTGGGGTAATCATAAGGTTGCCCAATTTGATGCGTAGGGGGGAGGGATGGGTAAAGGAAATGGGAAAGAGCCAGTGTGAAAAACCATGTATACGAGGGGAGCTCTGGTGGCCTAGTGGCAAGAAGCTGCAACTACAATCCCAGAGGCTCGTGGTTCGAAGCCACCAGATGCTCTACCGGGAAAAGGAGGGACAATCTCCTCCTGTACCAGTCAGATCTGATTTGACGGTACACTCACACAAAAAATAAAAAAATTAAAAAGAAAAACCATGTATACGAGCTTTGTAAGCAAACCAGTATAAAATAAAAATTTTATTTAAAAAATTGTTATGGAGTCAAATATTGCCAGTAGATGGAATGCATTAGATGCTCAACAAGAGAAAGATAAATCGTCTCCTCTCATAAAGATTTACCGCCTCAGAGTTTGGTGTTTCCTCAGAAAGTTGAACATAGAAATTCCGTATGACCCAGATATTCTAATGCTTGGAATATACCCCGAGAAAATAAGAACTGAGACACAAACAGAGACTTGTACACCAATATTCAGAGCGGTGTTATTCACCATTGCAAGAACATGGAAACAGCTTTAATGTCCAACCACAATCAAATGGATTGATAAATCATGGTACATTCACATGATGGCATACTATGCAGCACACAGGAGCAATCAATGATTTTGTAAACCACTACCTAACTTGGGAGGGACTGGAGAGTATTATGCTAAGTGAACTAACTCAGTCCCATAAAGACAAATAGTGTATAAGACCATTACTGTAAAAATAGTAACTGGTAAAACAATTATGAGGATCTAAAGGGGGGAGGAACAGAGGGGTGGGCTTGGGAGGGGGTAATCATGGGGTTGCATGGTTTGATGGGTGGAGGAGGGATCGGTTGGGGAGGTGGGGGGATCCAATGTGAGGGGCAATGTGTATGAACTTTGTACATAAACCAGTGTAAACTAAAAAAAAAAAAAAAGAATTGCAAGAAATAAAAAAAAAATTAAAACATTTTAAAATGTTTTAAAAAAGTATTTACTGCCTCAGAACCTCAATGGAGGGCTACTTGGAGTTGATGCAAGTGGTCTGAGTTTGACCTCAGACCTGGGTAGTTCCTGGGTGGTGCAGTGGTTAATGTTCTTGGCTGTTGACTGAAAGATTGTAGATTTCAGTCCAAAGAAAGGCCTGGAAAGCCATTAAAAAATATCCAGTTATTGAAACTATGGTCTTTATATAGAGAGTGGAATATTAGTACTCAGTCATCAAAAGAGGAAGTTTTCATAGATGCTACACCATGGATGAACTCTGAATACACCAAGATGAGGCAAGTCAGTCAATTTCCAAAGAATAAAGATTCAATGATCTCATTTATGTAAATATCTACCATAGGCAGGTGTATAGCATTGACAGTTCATTAACCGTTACCAGGGGCAGGAAGGAGAGAAGGGGAAGAAAGAAACAATAGTTAGGACAAAGTATCTATGCTGAAAGTGATGAAAAAATTTGGGATAAGGATGATGAAGATAAACAATGTCATTGATCATGTTAAGAGTTTGCAATTCAAAAAAGGGGGGATGTTTTGTTATAATACATGTAAAACAGGAAAAATGAATAAAAAACACCCCCACACACTGAAACTAGGGTTGGTATATCACTTCAACTCCAAGTAAACTCCATGCCAACTGGTACCCCATGCTCAAGGAACTAGAAATTCTGGGGTGGGGCCCAGTAATCTCTGCTTTAACAAGCCTTCCAGCAGATGCTGCTGCCCACCTCCAAGTGACAGCCTAGTGCTTTGGTCCTTCCAAATGCAAAGACTCAGAAGGATTTCTTTCTGGGATGTGAAAAGGTCATTTGTATTTGCAACACGGCCCATAAAGTTTGCATTCCAGGATGACCTCCTGACTCTCATTTCTCCATATTCTATTTCATGAAGATTGCTCCAGAGCTCCTAGAACAAGTCAAACAGATTCAGTGCTTTATGATGCAAAATGCATAAGAGGGAAATAAAACTGAGGCTTAGACGCTGCTGATAATTCCCTTTTCATGGCAGATCAAAAGAAAAAAAGAAAAAAAGGGGAGGAAAAAAAGAATGCTCCTTAATTTTGTGTATTCATAGAAACTGGAGACTGTGTTAACCTCAAATGGACGCCTGCTCCCTGGAACTCATCTTATATTTACATGTTGGAAGGTTAATCCATTTCCATCTCCCGTTGTTCAGCTGCAGAGAGTTATTTCTACAAGGACAAAGATGCAATTGTAAATCAAAATGATTGAGGCACATAATCACCCCAGTCAGCAAACACGCCAGTAACTTTTTGTTCCTTTTTAAATCTTGGGAGATTTGAGAAAATTGAAGTGGATTTTTTTTATTATTTTTTTTACTGTTATTTTGTTTGGCTGATTGCAGACAGGGCGATGACCTTAGGCCCAAGGTAAAACAATCACTGGCCCTGTGAATAGGAACTTTATAGCTAGCTCTTAAGCTGTGACTTGACGTGACAGGAGGGTCCAATCCATCAGCCTCTCCTCATAAAGCTACAGAGAAGGCACACTCAGGCCTACTTTATAGCTTTCTTGCAAGAGAACAACAAATAGAAACATTTTACATTAATACTGTCTTTTCCTTTTCCTTTATTGAGAGCACTTGAGCCACATTTTTTATTTCTCTTCATTTAAACTCTCTTAAGTATGTATAAGACGACTTGGGAGAATGTCACACACTCTGAAGACACCCTTCCTGTCAGGTCTGCTAACTCAACCAGTAGTGACCTGGTGTGGTAGATGGGAGGCCGACTGAGCGGAGTAATGACGATGGGGCACTGAGAAGTCCTGTCTAGGCATATGATGTCAGAGCGGCCAGGCTTTCCAGGGCCTTCTCTCTAAAGCTCCACAGGCTTAGTAAACCA